CTTTCCTTCAAGGACGATCACTGGTTGTAGTTGTGCAGTGAGGTCGTTCAGTTCCAATATGTCTACCGTTGCCATGGAAACCTGTAAAAAGCGACAAATTTTGTCCGAGAGTGTTCTCTCTGGTCCCTTAAACGTTCGTCATGAAACTTTTCTTATTTTAATGATTAGTATCTGTAGTTCTGCAACTGGTATTTAAAATTTTCATATAATCGATTATTGCCATGGAAACCAGGTGAAAGTTAAAATTCTTTAATTTCGATTTTCTCAATAACTACTCAGGCAATCGTTTTGAAACTTTCAATGTTTATTCCTTGCAATGTGTCAAAGTGATTTCTACTTTCAAAATAATTGTAATGAGTCGCTCACGGTTGCCATAGAAACGAAACAGAAAAAAAGATTCAGATGTACACATGTGTTCTCCAAGGTCTAGGTCAAAGGGTCAAAGTTCGTCGTATCCAATAAAAGTTCTTTTCACAAGGATTACATATTTGAAATACGAAAGCCCTAGTACTTACCGTTCAAACGTTATGGCTATTTACTATGTTCAAGACGCCCCCCCCCCCCTCTTTTTATGAAGCACACAGCCAAGTAGAATACACAGATATAACATATACAACTTACAAGTAACTTTTTAAAATCTTCATTCATAAAATTCAGTTCCCGTCATGTGATATTTTGCCATCATTCATTCTCCTTCTGTTTTGTCTCTTGAATTTATAAATATTTTATTTTATCTATATAAAAAAAAAATAACGATTGTCAGCTGCATTTATTATCATTTCGCGTTTTCTTGTATATCTATCACTTGTATATTATTCATTTCATTAGATAGTGCAAGTATAAATTAAAAAATTGGTACGTCATTTCCATAGTTTTTATTCATTCATAAATTCTTTGATCCGCTCCTGATGGTTCGCAAAGCCTTGATCACCACTGTATACAAAACATTCATCTCGCCGAAAATGTTCATGATTCCGCTAAACTGAGAAAGTTCACACATGATTTATTATCTCATAACACACATCAGCTCTCTGCAATGCAGAAATGCTCGAATTGGAGGGGAAAATTCAGGAGTTATTGATGAGAAAAATTCAGGAGTTATTATGTCGCCCCGAACGAAGTCGGGGACGACATATTGATATTGTACGCATGTTTTTTTTATCCAGGCTGTTTCTCGGAGATGGCTGGGACAATCTTCCTGAAACTTTCCTTCAAGGACGATCACTGGTTGTAGTTGTGCAGTGAGGTCGTTCAGTTCCAATATGTCTACCGTTGCCATGGAAACCTGTAAAAAGCGACAAATTTTGTCCGAGAGTGTTCTCTCTGGTCCCTTAAACGTTCGTCATGAAACTTTTCTTATTTTAAGGACTAGTATCTGTAGTTCTGCAACTGGTATTTAAAATTTTCATATAATCGATTATTGCCATGGAAACCAGGTGAAAGTTAAAATTCTTTAATTTCGATTTTCTCAATAACTACTCAGGCAATCGTTTTGAAACTTTCAATGTTTATTCCTTGCAATGTGTCAAAGTGATTTCTACTTTCAAAATAATTGTAATGAGTCGCTCACGGTTGCCATAGAAACGAAACAGAAAAAAAGATTCAGATGTACACATGTGTTCTCCAAGGTCTAGGTCAAAGGGTCAAAGTTCGTCGTATCCAATAAAAGTTCTTTTCACAAGGATTACATATTTGAAATACGAAAGCCCTAGTACTTACCGTTCAAACGTTATGGCTATTTACTATGTTCAAGACGCCCCCCCCCTCTTTTTATGAAGCACACAGCCAAGTAGAATACACAGATATAACATATACAACTTACAAGTAACTTTTTAAAATCTTCATTCATAAAATTCAGTTCCCGTCATGTGATATTTTGCCATCATTCATTCTCCTTCTGTTTTGTCTCTTGAATTTATAAATATTTTATTTTATCTATATAAAAAAAAAATAACGATTGTCAGCTGCATTTATTATCATTTCGCGTTTTCTTGTATATCTATCACTTGTATATTATTCATTTCATTAGATAGTGCAAGTATAAATTAAAAAATTGGTACGTCATTTCCATAGTTTTTATTCATTCATAAATTCTTTGATCCGCTCCTGATGGTTCGCAAAGCCTTGATCACCACTGTATACAAAACATTCATCTCGCCGAAAATGTTCATGATTCCGCTAAACTGAGAAAGTTCACACATGATTTATTATCTCATAACACACATCAGCTCTCTGCAATGCAGAAATGCTCGAATTGATGGTGGCATGTCAGATTCGTTTTTCGGTAGAACCTCTAAAATGAAAGTGAAAGAGGGAAATTTCAGAGTTCTCACTGGCGTTACAATACACAAAATAATTCGGCTGATCTTCTTCATAAATTACATTTCCCAAGCTTTTATCATAGGAAAGATACTGCCAATTAACAAGTATGAGGCTCAGTTCAGTACATCTGCCAGATTTCTTTTATGCAAGTCTGCAAATTGAGGAACTTGTAATTTTCCTGCACTACTTTCTTCTCCTACCGATTCTAAAAATAACTAGTGCTAATTGTAACGGGGACCGTTACAGATGTTCCCCAAACGCTCCCCAACTCCCTTTTGGTGCCATATTCCCTGTAAGCTTCATTAAATAAGACAAACTCGATGCATTTGAGACTATAACAACGTTTACCTAGAAGTGTACAAAGTTCATTCAAATTTTAGCATTGCACGCGTGCGCATGTGAATGCATGTGCGTAATGACCATATCATCTTGTCTACACAATCTATATATTTAAATATACTAAATATTAAAGTATTTAATCCAAAAGTATTAAAAAGATACGCTCATTCAAGTGTTTTTTTGATTTTGCTCATTTCACATGCACGCACGTGCATACATGAGCATGGTAACCAAATCTTCTTGTAGATGTCCGTTACATCTACCAATCTTCTAAATATCACCCCGTTTGGTTGAAAACCAAGGGAGTTATAGCTGTTAAAGTTTCAGCCAATCAGATTGCAGCGCACGTACATGCACGTGTGTGCATGTGCATGGTGACCATATTTTCTTGTATTAGTCCAGTATATCTATCTAAGTTCCAAATCCCATCCTGTTTGGTTGAAAATCAAGGGAGTTATAGCTATTTAAAGTTTAAGCCAATCAGATTGCAGCGCACGTGCATGCACGTGTTTTCATGATAATTGCTATATATCATGTTGTAGGATATCCTAATGCATGGCTATTTTCAAAATTTCAAAGGATTTCGTCAAAAAACAAGAAAGATATTGAGACTTTAGTTTCAGCCAATCAGAACGAAGCGCACGTGCATGCGCGTGAGATCTTGCTATTTTGACCATGTCATATTGTCTATGCTTCTTATATATCCTTATATTATAAGTTTCAAAGCATTTCATCAAAAATTTTAAAAGTTACGCCTATATCAATTAAATCGGTCATTTCACATGTTGCACGTGCACGCTCTTGCAAGCACGTGCGCGCAAAATGACCTTCATTCCGCAAATCTACATAACATGTCTACTGACCCTAAAAACATTTCACCTTAGTCGGATGTATAGTTTACGAGATCATTCCCGGACAAAAAAGTACCCAGGAAGAAGAAGAAGAAGAAAAATAATAATAATAATAATAAGAAACAGAGTAAAAACAATATGTTCCCCAACTTCGTTTGGGGAACATAATGAGTGGGATGTACCGAATTAAGGTCTTCCGTTTCCAATGGAAAGGACTGATATAACTCAATGGTTGTTCAAACTTAGCTTATGGACTTTTGTTTTAGTGATGATAAAAATGAAAGTCTTGTCTAATACGGGGCGACATATGCTATTGCTTGCAATAGCAGACTTTCTAGTTTTTTTTCTTATTTGTTCTCCGGTACTTTTTTGTCCGCGAGTGTTCTCAGAAACTGTTCACCCAACTGAGCTAAAACCTTTTTAGGGTTAATAGGTGTGTAGTGTAGGTGTGCGGAACGAAGGTCATTTTGCGCGCATACGCCTGCACGTGCGTGCGCGTGAAATGAGTGAATTGACTGATATACTTAATATAGCTATAACTTTTACATTTTTTGATGAAATGCTTTGAAACTCATTACTTAAGGATATATTAAAAGTGTTAATAATATGACACTGTCAAATTGGCATGAACTCACGCGCATTCACTTGCGCCTTCCTCTGATTGGCTGAAACAAAAATCTCAATATCTCTTTTGTTTTCCGACGAAATGCTTTGAAATTTTTAACATTGTCATGAATTAGGATATCCTACAATATAATATGGAAAAAAATTCATGAAATCACGCGCATGCACGTGCGCTGCAATCTGATTGGCTGAAACTTTAAATGGCTATATCTCCTTTATTTTTTGACGAAATGCTTTGAAATTTAAAACATAGTCATGCACTAGGATATCCTGCAATATGATATACAAAAAAATTCAAGAAACCACGCGCATGCACGTGTGCTGCAATCTGATTGGCTGAAACTTTAAATAGCCATATCTCCTTTGCTTTTTGACGAAATGCTTTGAAATTTAAAACATAGTTATGCATTAGGATATTCTACAATATGATTTAGAAAAAAAATTCTTGAAATCACGTGGATGCACGTGTACTGCAATCTGATTGGCTGAAACTTGAAATGGCGATAATTCCCTAGGTTTTCAACCAAACAGGATGGGATTTAGAAAATAGATAGATATAAGGGCCTCCTACAAGAAGGTATGGTCATCATGCACGTGCACGCATATGCGTGCATTTGGAACAAGTGAAATTGAAAATACACTTGAATGAGTGATTTTTAATACTTTTGGACTAAATGCTTTCATAAAAAGTATATATTGATATATAGAAAGTGTAGACAAGATTATATGATCATAATTCACGTGCATTCACATGGGCACGCGTGCAATGTTAAAATTTGAATATAATGGGTATCCTTTTGGGAAAACGTTGTTAAAGTAAAAAATGCACAGATGTTGTCTTATTTAATAAGGCTTACAGGGAATATGACACCAAAAGGGGAGTTGGGGGGCGTTTGGGGAACATCTGTAACGGTTCCCGTTACAATTAGCACTAGTTATTATTATTATTATTATTCTTTTTTTTCTTCTTTGTTCTCCGGTACTTTTTTGTCCGCGAGTGTTCTCAGAAACTGTTCACCCAACTGAGCTAAAACCTTTTTAGGGTTAATAGTTGTGTAGTGTAGGTGTGCGGAACGAAGGTCATTTTGCGCGCATACGCATGCACGTGCGGGCGCGTGAAATGAGTGAAATGACCGATATACTTTATATAGCCATAACTTTAACATTTTTTGATGAAATATTTTAAAACTCATTTAATAAGGATATATTAATAATGTAAATAATGTGACACTGTCAAATTAGCAGGAACTCACGCGCATGCACGTGCGCTTCGCTTTGATTGGCTGCAACAAAAATCTCAATATCTTTTCTGTTTTTTGACGAAATGCTATGAAATTTAAAATATAGGCATACTTTAGGATGTACTACAATATGATATATAACAATTGTCATGTAAATACGCGCATGCACGTGCGCTGCAATCTGATTGGCTTAAACTTTAAATGGCTATAACTCCCTTGTTTTTCAACGAAACAGTATGGGATTCAGAACATAGACAAACATAATGGACTCCCACAAGGAGGTATGGTCGTCATGCACATGCATGCACGTGCATGCACGTGTGCTTTGCTCTGATTCGCTGAAACAAAAATCGCAATATCTTTTTTTAATTTTTGACGAAATGCTTTAAAATTTTAAATATAATCATGCATTAGGATGTCCTACAATATGATATATAACAGTTGTCGTGAAAACATGCGCATACACGTGCGCTGCAATCTGATTGGCTTAAACTTAAAATGGCTATAACTTCCTCGTTTTTCAACCAAACAGGATGGGATTTAGAACATAGACAAACATAACAGACTCCTACAAGAAGATACAGTCGACATGCACACGCATGCACGTGCGTGCACGTGAAATGAGTAAAATTACAAATACACTAGATTAAAACGTATTTTTTTTTTATACTTTTGGATAAAACGCTGTAATTTCTAGTATATAAATAGTGTAGACAAGATGATAAGGTCATTACGCACATGCATTCAAATGCGCATGCGTGCAATGCATAAATTTGAATATACTGAATATACTTCTGGGAAAACATTGTTATAGTCTAAAGGCATAGAGTTCGTCTTATTTAATGAAGCTTACAGGGAATAAGGCACCAAAAGGGAGTTGGGGAGCGTTTGGGGAACATCTGTAACGGTTCCCGTTACAATTAGCCCTAGTTTTTTATGAAATATTGTGTCTAATATGAACATCCTATCATATGTCATTTATGTAGAAATTATCATTGACAATGATTTTTTTTTTGAAGGATGAAAACCCTAATCCTGACCGTTAAAAAGTTATGGCCAAAGTAAAAAAGTTTTTTAAAAGTAGGTCAACTCCAAGATCAAGATCAAAAGGTCAAATTTATTTTTATTCAATGAAAGTTTTTCTCACAAGGATAACATATGTGAAGTATGAAAGCCTTAGCCCTTACTGTTCAAAAGTTATGGTCAAGGTTAAAGTTTTTTCATAAGTACGTAAATCTTTAAGGTCAAGGTCAAAAGGTCAAAGTTGTTGATATCCAATGAAAGGACTTGCCACAAAGAATACATATATGAAATATAAAAGTCCTAGTATCTACCGTTTAAAAGTTGTGACCAAAGTTAAAGTTTTTCTAAAAAGTAGTTAAAACTCCAATGTCAAGGTCAAAGGGTAAAAGTTGTTGGTATCCAATAAAAGGTCTTCCCAAAAGGATTACATATGTGAAGTACGAAAGCCCTAGCCCTCACCGTTCAAAAGATATGGTCAAGGTTAAAGTTTTATCATACGTACGTAAATATCAAAGGTCAAGGTCAAAAAGTCAAGGTTGTTGGAATCAAATTAAACGTCTTGCCACAAGAAATACATATGTGAGATATAAAAGTCCTAGTATCAACTGTTAAAAAGTTGTGACCAAGGTTGAAGTTTTTTAAAAGTAGTTAAAACTCCAGGGTCAAGGTCAAAGGGTCAAAGTTATTGGTATCCAATGAAGGGTCTTCTGACAAGGATTGCATATGTGAGATACGAAAGCCTTAGTCCTCACCGTTCAAAAGTTATGGTCAAGGTTAAATTTTTTTTATAAGTATGTGAATCTCTAAGGTCAAGGTCAAAAGGTCAAGGTTGTTGTTATCCAATGAAAGGTCTTGCCACAAACAATATATATGTGAAATATGAAAGTCCTAGTACCTACTATTCAAAAGTTATTGCCAAAGTAAAAGTTTGGAATTTTTGTGTAAAAGTGGGTCAAACTCCAGGTCAAATTAAGAGGTACCCAAAGAAAGGTCTTGTCACAAGGAATACACATGTGAAACATGAAAGTCATAGCTCCACTAAATCAAAAGTTATGGGCAAGGTTAAAGTTTTTGTGACGGACAGACTGACGGACAGATGGACAGACAGACAGACGAATGAGATTTAATGTCCCCTCGCTTTCGCGAAAGCGGGGGACAAAAATTATCACAGTGAGAATTCATAACACTTTACTTTTTAGTACAAAAATATAATTTTTTTATATGCTAAAGTACATGTACAGTCATGTATTGTGAAAAATTGAAATAGACTTTTAGGCCCTATAATTTCCAGTCTCCATTTGACGTAGCGGGTTTGCTCTGGATTCACGAACCTGAAGGAGTCCATCCTTACGTTGCTGATTCGACCCCACTGCGGGACATGGATATCGGCCCTTAATTCAGATTGAGATCCCATGTCGCAGTAATTGCTAGCCAGAAAAATATCCCTCGCTGCTCAAAATTTTATTCTCCAAAGGGACGTTAAACAAACAAAATCATTCATGCCACCGTCTTTCAGTACTCACAGTACTTTGATTAGAATAAATTTTAGAGAGAAAGGAAGAGAGAGAGGGAGAGAGAGAGAGTGAAATAGTGGAAAAAAGGGAGTGTAGAGAGAAAAGGAGATTGGATTGGAGAGTGGGAGAAAGAGGGAGTGGGGAGAGAAAGCTGGGAGAGGGAGATTGAGTTGGGAGACATAGAGAGTGAGAGTGGGGGTGGAGGGAGCTTGGAGGAGTGGGGGAAAGAGGGAGTGGGGAAAGAGTGGAAGAGAGGAGTGGGGAGAGTGGGCGAGAAAAGGAGTGGGGAGAGAGAAGGAAGGGGGTAAAGAGACAGGGAGTGGGAGGAAGGAGGAAAGGGATATGGGGAGAGAGAGAGTGTGGGAGAGGGACTGGGGAGAATGGTGGAGAGAGGGGAATAAGAAGAGAGAGGGAGTGAAGAGAATTGGAGAGAGTGGGAAAGGAGAAAGGGAAGGGGGAGAGATAGAGAAAGAGGAGTGAGGAGAGAGAGTGGGAAAGAAAGAGCAAGTGGGGAGAGTGGGTGTTAGAGGGAGTGGGGAGAACGGGGAATAGTGGGAGATAGGAGGATGGAAGCGAGGGACTGGGGAGAAAGGGGGAGAGAGGGGAATGGGGAGAAAATGAGAGAATGGGGGAAAGAGAAATGGAGTGGGGAGAGTTGGAGAAAGAGGAGTGGGGAGAGAGAGGAAGTGGGGAAATTGGGTGAGAAAGGGAGTGGGGAAGAGTAGGGAATGGGGAGAGGGAGTGAGAAAAATGGGAGAGTTAAAGAAATAGGAGTGGAAAATAGGGAGTGGGGAGAGAAAGGGAGAATGGGAAGAGAGTAGGAGTGGGAAGAAAAGTGGGAGTCGAAAGAAGAGTTAAAATAGGATCGAAAGTGCGATTTGGGAGAGTGAGAATGAGGAAAAAGAGTGTGAGAGGGAAAGTGGAAAAGGAGAAAGGGAGTAGAGAGAGAGAGAGAGTAGGAGTTGGAAGAGAGGAAGGGTGGGAGTTGAAAGAGAGAGAAGGGATTGGAGAGGAGGAGGGGAGAGAAAGAAGAAAGGAAGAGAGTTGAAGTGGAGAGCAAGAGTGGGAGAGGAGAATGTGGAGAGAACGTTGAAGAGGAGAGAGGGAGTGGGGAGAGGGTGGAGAGAGTGAGACTAAGGAGAGATAAGGAAGGGGGAGGGTAAGGGTTGGGAGCATGTGTGGGAGAGAAGAGACAGATCTAGAGGGATGGAGTTGGGAGAGAGAGCGAGAGTCGGAAGAGAGTGAGACTTGGGAGAGAAAGAATAGGGAGAGTGAAAAGGGGAGGAGGGAGCAAAGGAGTAGGGAATGAGAAAGCAGGGAAAGTGCTGTGCAGTTGGAATTGAATTAGAAAGAATGGGAGTAGGGATAAAGAAAGGGAGAGAATTGGGAGTGGGAGCTGAGACAGGGAGTGGGAGTGGAGAGATTGTGAGTTGGGAGAGAGAGTGGAATTGAGGAGAGGGAGTGGAGGGAGGGAGAGAGTAGGAGTGGCAAGAGAGGGAGCTGGGAAAGAAATTGGAGATGTATAGAGGGAGTGGAGAGAGAAGGTATTGGAGAGAGAAAAAAAGAGTTAAAGAAAGGAGAGAAAAATTTGGAGAATGGGGATGTGGATTGATTTAGCAGGGAGTTGGGAGAAATGAAAATTAGTGTAGAGAAGAGAGAAAGTTAGTGTTGGTACAGAGTAGGAGCTCGAGTGGCGTGAGAGAAAATACAGGAGAGGGTTTGGAGAGAGGGGAGATGGATATACGAGGGGTGATAAAAAAAGAACTAAATATTTTCAAAACCATGATTCAGATCAGAATGAAATTTGACACACCTATAGTCATACACATGTTCTACAAATAGCGAAAAGTAATGATTTTTATACACAATAGTGACGTCACAATGTGAAAATGACATCTATATGCAGGTTACCCGTGACGAAAAACGGTTGTCTGTCTTACTCGGATGGAAAGGAATTACCGCCAAAAATTTATTTATCTTGCTTTCATTCTTATTGCTAGCGCTCTCGAGCGCTAGCAACTACGTTAGTCCAAATTCTTAAAATACGCATGCTCGGCTTCACGGTCGTGCATTCTGGGAAAACTGTAAAGGTGGCAGAGGATAGTTTCGGATTAAGTACTGGTCCAAAAAAAAAAGAGAAACTTAAGTTTTGAATGCATGTTATAGGTAATTTTATGGCTAGAATATTTTATGGGTGCATTTGGAGGGAAATGGTGGCCTTGTACACTTTACTGTCACTACTACTGTACATGGGATATGGACTAGAAATACGAATTCAAACTAAGATCAAAAATCACTCTTCCGGTATTTCACCAGAAAAAGCGTGGTGGGTTCATAGGATGAATTTTAGCTTGAAAACGAGGTGGTTGAACCATTGCTCCTGTTGTTCAGTGGTATGTACAAATTTTATTCTGCAATTTGTGTGGTAGCTTAGGTCATTAGCACGGGCTTGGAATCAGTTGTGGCTGAGGCGAAATAGTGAAAATAGGCTTGATTTACATGAAATTTTGAGATTGTCCCTGTGCCATCATTAGGGCTCATTGTGTATAAGTTGTACATGTTTTATTCCTTAAAGCTTCAAATTCCTCAAGGGACTGTATCATACTATTATTACATGTAGAGAGAATTACAAAACATTTAACGTTTTGATTGCAAAAACTATTCTCTGCCACCTATGAAAACTACTATTGATAGACCGTACGATAAAAATTTCGTTGTATCATTAAAGAACTTTGTTTATTTATTGTGTAGCTTAATTACACTGTAAAGATAACTACATAATTGTAATACTTCAAATTTTCCCTTTTTTCTGACTGAAAATCCTAGTCATTATCTGATTATTCTAAACAAAGACAAGGGTGTTTTTTTACGTCTAAGCAAGAGATAAACTCTATTTTCAAAACCTCACCACAGTAAAAATATATTCTATATGCTCGAATTCATGGCAATGTAGGCCAAGCAAAAAAATCCATAAACAAGGATTTACACTAAAAATTACGAACAAATACATTATTTATTTTAAAAAATTCTGTGTATGGCTTGTAACCTAATTAACAGTTCTTGACAAAGATGACCCAAAGGGTCAAGCTACTTCACATGTTCTCATTCGGAACTCTCTGGAAACTCCAATGGGTCAACAAAACCCCCCCCCCCCCCCCATCGTTTCTTTACCTAGGCCATTCCAAGTTTTTTCTCCGTTTAGCGTCCATCCATGTTTCAAAAACCTAGCTACCTATTCGCAAAAAACACACAAGTCAAAATAATAAAACACATATTTTATAGTAATAAGAATGATGTAATTCAAAAGATTTGATTTCATTTATCTATTCTTCATAAAGAAAGTTATTTCTTCAGCAAAATCAAGGTATTAAATATTGAAACTATTCCAATAAGGAAATGTTATACAAATATTTAGAGATATTGCCAGAAATAACAAATTTGGACATGGATAATTAATTTTCGGACTCCTGATTCAATTTTTTTTTCTGACATGGAGCGTCAAAAACCAAGGCGCACGCGGATGCTTAACATAGAAAAAACTTGGAATGGCCCTATGTGTATATAAAATATACTTTTCAAAAAATTATAACTTTATCAACTCCAGCCTCGATAAACATTAAAAAATTCAGCAAAATAAATCACGGACCTTCCTTTCTGTGTTTAAAAATTGCTACGGCGCTAGTTCACCTATCTTTTTAAAAAGATAAACTTGTTCCGCCTACTTCACTCGTAGCGAACACCCCTGCCACCTAGCGTTATAATGCCGCACTAAAAACACCCGTGCCAACCTAGCGTTATAATCATGATACATGTAATGCTGCACTAAAACACCCCTGCCAACCTGCACTAAATTCGGACAACTTGTATTCGTCTTCATTGAATATGCTTCATTGTTTGCGTGATTGAATTTACGTTTGTAATAGAGATAGTCATAATTTTAAAGAAAATCGAACGAATTTACAAGAATAAAGCAACATAGATGTAAGGACAAAATGAAGAATGATAAAAGTTCAAAGTGAAATGTAATAAAATAAATGTAATTCCCTTCCATATACTCGTGCAACGAACGGCTATAAAGTTTAACGTATAACTTGGAAATTCCTTTGAAGTATCTTCTAATAATTTGTACAATGTTTATGAAGGCAATAGATTTTCCAGACGTTCAATCGAAAATTGAATTGATTGTTTTAGTGAAGGGGAGGAGATTGTTAAAAATGACGTTCGAAAGCGAAAGCATATGTCCTTTGTTAGGCAATTTGTTATGAAAGATTGCGAAGTTACAGTAAGAAAAGTAGTTGAATATTTAACAATAAAATTATTATTAAATCCCTAAAATATCTTTTGACTTTTAAGTTTTAACTAAACATATTGAATATGATAAAAAGAAGGTCAATACAACTACATGTATATCCATATTTGATAGACGACGTTCCTAAGACGGAGATCTCGGGAACGTGGTGGTCACCATTTTCTTTCTGGGAAAAAATATCCTTATCAAACCATGCTATCTCCGAGATTTGGTCATTTCGGACAAATGGACCGTTCTTGTTTTAAAAATCAACTTGAATGGTAAGAAATATAAGACTCGTAAAATATTTTAGCTTCTACACCGTGTATATCCCAACATGCGCGGTGTATACTATGTTGTGCGCGGGGTGTATGCTTCCGAAGCGAGAGAAAGGGGGTCGAGGTACGTTCTTTGTCCGTTTTCTCAACTTAACGAATATTTTTCGCTAGAAAACATTAGCCTACGGAAGAAAGCATTATCTAAGGAGTATATGGATACCTATGAATCCACTGGACACCGTCTAGTTTTATCAAACACCTCAACACAATTCCGAGGATCGGAGCAAGATTGACGCTACAATGTGTTTATGATCAAATATCAGAACAAAGCTTTGATTTATCATAACTTTTATATTATTGTTAAATACATGTTTACAATATAAACGTTTGTACAAATTGTCTGTAAATAAAACAGTCCGTATATAAAGATATTGACGAAAAATCAATGTTGTGTCCGGGGTGTATGCAACATGTTGTACGCGGGGTGTATACCCTTTTCTTTTTACTCTATAGTACCATTGTCTGAAATATCATTTTACTCAACAATTGACTTTTATGAAAGTTCTATCATTTTTTCTTAATTATTCGATAACCAGAATAGCACAACTTAAGGTTCATGAATTCGATTTACTGGAAAAAAATTGATACACGTTCATTGCACTTTTGGCTTTGCTTGCATATGGAAGTAAATGTACAGGATACTTTGTTTTACTGTTTAATGTGATGACCAACAATCCATCCCTTCTAATATCTGTTTAACTTTTTAAAATATTTTTAAATGACATTGAAAAATGGCTTTTTAATTGTAATGTCATAAACACAGCAAAAAAATGTTCTCCTTCATGTAGTATCTAATATGCTGTGTACTTTGCCCCATTGAGCCCATATTTGGCAGTAAAATACTTGTTTTACAT